TTTAAATAAGAATTTATAGCTAACAGGGCTTGAAGATCTGAGACAGCCTCCTTATCTGAGTTGCCATTTCTAGCCAGCCAAGGTTGACTAGAAATTTAAATATTTAGAATTGCTCTATTTGCAGAAAGCTGTGTAGTATAGCTAATTTTTTGTAGTGATTAGATAAAACCCTTGTATTCAAAATTGTATGACTTGACTTATCAAAAGGAATAGTAATGATTTGTTAGCTTTAGCGGAGAGAGGGACATTATGATACTTACCTCTTAATGATTGACATTCCAATGCTCTGTAATCAAGTTGTATTTGGTTGGAGAAGAGGGGGAAACCTGAAGGCTACTTTAGACATTAGGAGACAGTTGAAGCTGATCTCAAGATTTATTTGTTCTTTACAAGGTTTTACTCATCTTTGAGAAATCTAGACGCAGGAGGAAATGGACCAATAAAATTAATATTACAGAGGAATGTTCAGAATAGACTTAAGTTAATTCTACTCTAGCTAGCAAACTATCTATCTATCTATCTATCTATATATATATATATAAATAAAAAAAAGTAAAGGCTGTCACAGTGTGGCAGAATGTTACTTACTAACATTACAGCTTTGCTTGTAGAGCAGCCATGTTGGGAGGTTGACACTTGAAAGTGAACTCTGCCTACTGGGATCCCAGGAAGAAAGGGGGAAGAGAGAGCTCCATGACTATCTTAGTACCATCTCAATCTGTCCATGAATCTGCCCTAGCTTTATACCCACCAGAGGGGTTCAGAAAGATTACTAAGACATTTGTCCAAAGGGTCAACCTAACCATCGTTAGTTTTGATTCTTAAACAGGTTAAGTTTATTTTTCCCCTAAAACAATTCACTGTTTAGATGCAATTTAAGAAATGTCTGTGCTAATGACTGCAAACAGAAGATGTCTGATACAAGGCTGCATAACTTGGAATCTAGTAAGAGCAGGTACAACTCCTAAGTTTACTTTTGACCAGTACTTGTCCTTTTTGTGGTTGAATAATTAGTAATGAAATAAAAGCCAGTGATTTTGGGGCCACTAGCAATTTGTATGGTCCTGTTTTAATATTCCACTTGTGTTCATGGATGTCTGTAATACCTCTCATTTTTTGAAGATCCCTATCTGGGGCACTGATCTACATTGAGCCCACATTAAAAATGCATGGAAGAGGTGCTATAAAATGTTAGTTTTTAACTCCCTCTCCCTGGAGTGGGGTTTGGATGAAAGCTTGTTGGCCGTAACTGGACCATTCCTTTCCAGCAAAGAAGTGTGGGCTACTGGGCTACACTTCCATTCATGGCACATTTGCCAGTCTTAGTACATTTTTTTTCCTTTGAGTGTTGTGCATTAAACTTTTTAAGTATCTCTCTAGTTTCACAAGTGCAAACTGAACACTTTTTATATGCTGTTTCAGAAATATATGAACTGCAGTTTAACTTCATTAACAGGCTATTAATACCACTGAAAGCTTAGACAAGATTTAATGCTCACATTCATTGTGATTCTTGGCTTTTCACTTAATCATAGACCAGTGAGGTTATAGGTGCATATTTGGAGATTTAAGATTTCATTTGTGCTAGATTAATTCCTCTCAGAAAATTATAGTATGCATAATAGCTTCCTAGCAATGCGATGTACCATAACACCCACGCACTAACCCCAATATTTGTTTGTTCATGCTACAAACTGTACTGACTTGCTGGTGGTGTATATAGTGGGGTAGCATTCTACTCATGGCTAAAGCAAAACTGTCATTTGCAATTGCAGAAAGTTGAACTTCGGGAATGGAAGTATTCTAGAGCCCCACTCTTGCTCAAAGTGCAGCACATTACAAAGAACAGGAGTACTTGTGGCACCTTAGAGACTAACAAATTTATTAGAGCATAGTCTCTAAGGTGCCACAAGTACTCCTGTTCTTTTTGCGGATACAGACTAACACGGCTGCTACTCTGAAACACATTACAAATCATTGGAAAGTTGTTACAAACAGTAGGTAAAATATTTAAAATTTATAACACCCAAATCTTCTAACAAAGATTAGAGAGAAATCTCTCGTTTATTTAGTGTACACTTGATAGCTTAAACAGACTAAAGTGCTAACTAGACAGGATAAATGGTGACTGTTTTCCCAGTTCATACAGCTGCAGGGGCATAGTAGTTCAGGTGCAGCTGAAGAAGTGAGGTTTTTACCCACAAAAGCTTATGCCCAAATAAATCTGTTCGTTTTTAAGGTGCCACCAGACTCCTTGTTGTTTTGGTAAATTGAATGTTTTCCTTTACAGGACCAAATCTTAGTCCCATTATATTAGTGGAAAGCTTGCCCTTGATTGGAGGGTAGGAGACAAGGATTTGGCCTGATGAAAATAGGACTAGAACAGCCCTAATATTAAGCCATTACTTGATGGGGCACTACAGGGTGGGTAGTTGAGAAATAATGACTTGAGATTTTGGGCTTGTCTTTTAGTGCAGAATAAACTAGGGTGTGAATTTAAAGTACAATAACTATTCTCTACTAGCTCCCTGTGGGGACAGACCACTTATTCCGCACTAAGAGTGCCTTTGTGTAATTTGGCTTAATCCAAAACCCTTATGCTAGGTGACAAGACTTTTCCTGAAAGAGGTCTTTATGACCTGCCAACATCATCTTACTAACAAGTGTGCGCTAAAATGAAAAGGGAACTCTGTGAACACTTGGACTTCTTCTGTCTTCTCGCTACAAAAGGTATTACCTAGCATGGCCTATAAAATAGACCATACTCTAGCGATCAGGTATCTTTTTTCAGGTCAGGCTTTTGCCATTGCAGCCGTAAATACAGCTATGATTGGCATTTGGAACACAAATTTGTACATTGTGGATGGTGGGATTTAGCTCTTACAATTAGTGTGTAACTATAATACTCTAATTGTGAATTAAATTATTTGACCCTCTAACTCATCTTTGAAACATAGCCTAGGTATCTGAACATCCTCTTGTAGCAAACATCTAAAATGCTACTCCTTGTCATCAGATTTAATAGGTTTAGGGTAACATGAATTTTTTTGGCCCAGATGTTTTCATACCCTAACCAGACCAGTGTTTCAACACTGAGGTATGTCAAAGGCTACAATATGCATTTTATAATGCTAATATTTCAAAGAACTATCAGACCAAAGCTGATATCTCAATTTAAAAAAAATTACAGTAGAGAGATGGGCTTTTGGGTGTATTGAACATTGCTTTTGACAGTTTTTATCCAAACATCAGTCTTGTTAATTAGGGCTGTTGATTAATCACACTATTAGGCAATAGAATATCAATTTAAATTTATTACATATTTTCTACATGTTCAAATATATTGATTTCAATTAACACAGAATACAAAGTGTACAGTGCTCACTTTATCTTATTTTGATTACAAGTACTTGCACTGTAAAATGTGAATGTGCAACTTACAAATGTAGAATTTTTTTGTTACATAACTGCACTCAAAAACAAAACAATTAAAAAAGTTAGTGCCTCCAAGTCCACTCAGTCCTACTTCTTGGTCAGCCAATCAAGTTTTACATTTACAGGAGATAATGTCACCTGAAAGTGAGAACAGGCATTTCCATGGCACTTTTATAGCCAGCATTGCAAGGTATTTATGTACCCAATCTACTAACCATTCATATGCCCCTTCATGCTTTGGCCACCATTCCAAAGGACATGCTTCTGTGCTGATGAAGCTCAGTAAAAAAAATAACGCGTTAATTAAATTTGTTAAACATTCCAATGCAGAAACTACAGAACCTGAACCACCAAAAAAGAAAATCAACCTTATGCTGGTGGCATCTGACTCAGATGATGAAAATGAACATGTGTCAGTCCACATCGCTTTGGACTGTTATCAAGCAGAACCATCAGCATGTTCTCACTTTCAGATGACATTGTAAACAAGAAGCGGGCAACATTATCTCCTGCAAATGTAAACAAACTTGTTTATCTGAGCAAATGGCTGAACAAGTAGCAGCACTGAGTGGACTTATAGGCTGTAAAGTTTTACATTGTTTTATTTTTTGTACATAATTCTACAATTGTAAGTTCAACTTTCATGACAGAGATGCACTACAGTACTTGTATTAGGTGAATTAAAAAATATAAAGTGAGCACTGTACACCTTGTATTGTTATAATTGAAATCAATATATATCAAAATGTAGAAAACATTCAAAGATATTTAAATAAAGGGTATTCTATTATTTAACAGCCTGATTGATTAATTTTTTTGACAGCCCTATTACTCTGCTTCTTGGTAGTACCAGTATAGGAACCTGATACATCCTCTACAACAGGCTTACAGAGGCATTGACTTTGCTTGCATGACACTTAGTCCTTTTGGATATGTGCTGCAGTACTGTAACATCTGATGAAGTGGACTGTACCCCAGGAAAGCTTATACTCAAATAAATGTTAGTCTCTAAGGTGCCACAAGTACTCCTGTTCTTTTTGCAGATACAGACTAACACGGCTGCTACTCTGAAACATCTCATCACTAGTTCCACTAACCAATATGGAGTAGTGAGGTGACAAATTCCTACTCCCACCAAAAGCAGAGGCGTTGATAGTTGTTCAGGTGCGTGTAGCATGTAAATATGGACTTTTATTCTACCCTCCATCTTTAATATTAGTTGTGTTCAAATACTAGATCTGATACAGGAATTGGGTATAGCAACTTTTTCATTGTAAGGTGCAGTACATGTGAAGAAACAAAACTTGCAATTCAGAAGTGACATCTGATTTGATACATTCCCTGTCCTCCCCCATTTCTGCAACTGTGAAACTTTCCATATACCTGGCTAGCCTAAATTTCTGACCACCTCTTCTAGCATACACTAGTCACAAATACTCTTCCTAGCCAACTGCTTATATTTTGTTTCTGTAGATTTATGTTGGGGGAAAGAAGAAAGATGGCAAACTTTCAGCCCTGGCTTAGTAGAAGCTTCGATATAAAACTTCACATCACAGGGTCCATAGTAGCTTTGCAGAAATTTATTTACACAATTCAAGTTCCATTATACAACAGCTTTTGAAGCTGATCTAAGTTTCTGTGAAAGTCAGCCATGCGTAACTGACTGAATTTCCAAAATTGTACCACACTGATTTGAGAGGTACAAGATAAATCTTGTAAATTCAAAACAGTGGGAGGCTTTTGGTATGAAATATCACCAAAAGACTGTGGTTAATATCTATAATGTAACACATCAAACGTGGGAGGAAAATCACATAACATGAAATACTTTTAATATGCTATACATACAGCAATCTGCAGCCTTCTGATCAAATATGTAAACAAACTGGTTTCTAAAATGTCACCGTAAACAAAATGAGTGTTTATATTTTTTCCTAGCAATAGCATAAAACAGTTCCATACTTAAAACCATTGTGATCAAATATATTCTGAACTATATTTACACTTCTTCCCTATGCATACTATTTAGGCTCCCCTTAAAATAAGGGAGCTAACTGCATATATAATAAACCCATAGGCCACTCCTTCCCCATCATTGCTATACATTTACCTCTTAGCAGAATTCAAGTTTTTATTGGGACAAAACATGAATCATAAAAACAAAAGTCAGACATGAAAAAATTTCAAGTAACATTTCCCTAAAAAGCTGCTTATAAGATGAAGTCAGCTACTAGTGGCTTTGATACCTTGTACCTACATAGTTCCTAGGAAAATAATCTTCAGTTCTGTAGAGTTTAGGCAGGTCATATGTATGCTGTGCTGCTGGAGTATGCTTCTGAAATGAAAAATGGGAGAAAAATTAACTTTACTGTTGAAAAGAATTTAATTGGTAATGTGTTTAACTGGGCAGATGTGGGATGTTGCAATTTGTCAACATTATCTTACACATACCTCAGTGTATATTATGTACCAAACACCAGGAGAACATTTCCCCCTCCCCCACCCAATGCCTGGGGAAAGACTAAAACTTAAATGGTTTCTAGGAGTGTTTGTCCCTCTAA